CACCACTCAGTCTCCGTGAGTCCGTCAACGCATCGGTCAGCATCGTCAACACTATCTTGACTACCAAATATTTTATCAACAGACCCATCAAAGAGACCTTAGCACAGTTTCGAAAAACGGATAAGGTGAGGGAAATTAATGGAATTAGAGATGGCTAAACAGATACAAATATGCTTACCCACAATGGTCTTTTATTTCAAAATAATGACATGAAACGAAAGTTCCAATAAACGTCTTTCTTTTATTTACAACATGATAAAGTTGGATTGCATCCATTAGCTATAACCTTAACTTAAATGATTGATGTTTGCACATAGGTAAAGGGATTTGACAAAGCAAATAAATCCTTTGCACAAATCATGGCTCTTTTAATTTACCCCTAAATTTTCACAAAATATTAGCTACACTGTAAGAAGATGGACTAGCAAGTCGCCTTTCCTAAATTCAGAGTTCGCCATATATTTGTCAAAATTCTTGCCACAATGGAAAATTTGAGATAATTTACCCTATTTCTTTACTCAAACTTCACTCATGTCACTTTTTGCAGATGTCTGAGACCATCTACAATTGTTAAAAAATGTTAAATGGTGATTATGTGACTAATGTGAAAATGTGCTGTCTGCTGAGTGTAAAAATATTCAATAAGAATAGAAATAGAGAAATTGACATTATTTGTACTGCAATTTTTCTTTAGTTGGCTTTGCTAATTCAAGCTGGCCAAAGGATTTACGTTTAAGTGCTGATCGTGCAAACGTCTCATCTTTATGTTCAGATGCAAGTAGCTACTACGGTGTTTTAGCATTTGCCTCCTTCATTCGTCTAATCAGATGAATAATCTACATACACTTAATGAGTAAAAAAGCAAAATCAGCAATAATGCCATTAATATTTACAATGTTTCCGGATTGGATTTACGTATATCGTACTTCTACACCAAATAGGTGGCAGTTTTGAGTTTCAAGGGGAACACGTAAGTGTGCCCATAGTATTGTAAGGGTTGGCTGCAAGTGACCGGCTGTTTATTGGGGCAACTTGTCACATTGGGCACTTTTAATCTTTTTAGACAATTATCGTAGAAATTGTTAAATCAGTCACAGAATGGATTTATTCGTTTTATCCATTTGATAAGTTTATTTATTCTCACTGATTATGATATGCTAAGGCCTGAAAATGACATTTCAAAAACTTGGATCGCTTTCGCTGCTGTTTGGGAGTGATTTGTATAGCTTAGTGCTCCTCTTAGATAGACCAAGTCCCTTGGTTCGGCTCTTATAAATGTAGTGATTGCAAATCCATTTCTCCTTATCTTTGCCACCTTCTGTTTTATTTGCTTCAGCAATTCTGTAAGAATTTTTCCCAAACGTTACCTTAGTAACGAACAAATGCATGTGCTGTTAAGCGAAATCTTACATGCAGAAAAATCAGCAATAAAATTTTTGGTAGTTCTAATTCTAGTTCTGTTCCGTACAATAAACAAAATTAAGCTAAATTAACCTATTGCTCAGCCAATTTATATGGTTCATCGTTTTTGCTCAAATGAAAAATACAACTTTCATGCATGAATAAGCAAATATTTTCCCCGTTAGAGATGCGGCAGTATGTTTCATGCTTGCAATCGCGAACGCAGCGGAGGCAAAAAATACGTGCCCAGCTCTTGATACGTCGAAGTAACTAAGGCATCAGAGTACTAAAGATCGGAAGAAGTGAGCAGCTGAATAACAGGCAGGGCATTTGAATATTGAAAAGTGAGTGATGTACAGGAGCATGACGATGGAATCGCAAATTGAGCGCTCAAAGGCTGTTATTATGAGGGCGAAAACAATTGCGACGAAGTTACAAATTACCTTCCTGTGCTACCCTATAATGGTATTATTGGCGGGCAAATCAGCGTTACACTGTCTCGCGAAAGTAGTGGATTGTTTGATAACATGCATGATAAAGAATTCAACACTTACGTTAATCAAGCACAAGAGGTTGTTTATGGATATCTCATCCACTATGAACTGTGGCAAAGCGAGATCGCTAGCAGGACCGTTGTGCGTGCATGAGAGCATCAGTTTGTGATGCATTTGTTGTGGCATCAATGAAGCGATCTATTCTGTCTATTAGGCGACACAAGGCGGGATCACACAGACGTCAAAAGTCTCTGCCATAGCTGAGGATGGATGCATCAAGTTAGCTGCCTGCTATGATGGGGAAGGTGATAGCTTGCGTGTTTGACGAACGCGACTACTCAGGCAGAGATGACTGACATGCAGGTGGTCCTAAGTGGAGCATAATATCTCCCAAGAGTGCGCACACTTCTAATCCCTTTGTGTGCTTGCCCTGCCTCATTCACACAAAATAGCTGTTTGCGTACCTGCGTGCGCGTTTGCCTGCGCGCGTGCACATCGTGGATGTGATGGTGTGATGAGCACCGATGATACCAGTAAATATGACTGCCTCCATGTGCCACTTTCAACGCAATGATTACTTACACTTAAAAAAAGCTTGCTTCTAACAAAGTGACGCTAGTGTGTTTGAAATGAAGGCTAGCTATTAGTAGATTAACAAAGCACTTTCCATCTTTACTTCGATATTTTGCACTCTAGATCACAAAAAGTTTTGTAGTTTTAGAACGTCGCACTTGATGTCAAGCACATGCTTATTAACTTTCCTTTATCTCGTCGAATTATCCAAATGGTTTCTCGAATCCATGCCTCTCTTGGTCCTAATAACAATAGTGTGGTTGCACCACTGTGGCAGGCATTCATATTTCCCCTTTAATATTATGTTATCAATCGGCAGTTATTACAATCCTAGATAAGCTGCCCTGACTTGACGCGTCAGAGTTAGCTCAATGGCTAACTGATGTCTGTACAAACCAAAATGAATTGCGAGAGTCAACCAGGAAGTAGTTCTCTTCTTTTTACCTGGTCTTGTGTCCCGCAACAAGTATTTGGCATTGCACTCTCATTTGTGCGGAAATGCAATGCAAGGTGTGAAGATTAAAAGGAAAATATCATGGGTAAGGTCGGGTTATTTGGCTTTCAGAGGAAATTTATAATGGTGTTTTAAATAAAATTATAGGAGATTGCAGCAATCAGCATTACCATATCCGTGAGATCTTTACTATTTTTTTTACGCTTGACTATGTCGAGTTCGCCATGCCAAATGCGAAATAACTCCTATCCATCTCTAATTTTTACTGCATGTTTTTGATATTTCCCTCGCACGGTAGGCTTCCAGTGAACTCATTCCCTTCATTAAATGCAACATTTAGACTGACATATGGGCCACTCAGTAGATTTAACACATTCAAATACGCATCAGCAAAAATTTTAGGGCAACAGAGGTGCATTTGAGTTGATATTGAACTGGCAATTAATAAATATTTTTTTTTCAGTTTTACTCCTACCTTGGTATCTGTAAAGTATTCCATCAACTCATAAGCAGCTTGTTATACTAGAGCGATATCAACGAGTCAGCGAGACATCGCTCGCAAGCCTTATTGGAATAAAAAAAATATCTTCTAACCCGTATAGCAGATTTCATATAAAAAACAATACATTTGAAGGTGCAACATAAAAAGACGACTATGCTCAGAAAAAATAGTTCCAAACAAATTTTTAAACTAGCACTA